TTAAATACAGCCACATGTGTAAGCATTAAACGAATTACAAAAAGGGTAGACAATAGCAACACTAGCAAGCCCACGTTTTTACATGCCATTCTGTTATTTATGGCAGAATTGTGATACTTCTAAATGCATGTATCTCTCCACCATTGACACTTCCAAACGAATCAAGGGGAGTGAGCAAACGGAACGATGTGGATGAAGTACGTTAATGCAACCGCTAGAATCAACGAGCAATTAGTTGTCATAGCAACTTAAGAAAAGGTGCAACGTGCCCGTTTTGACGATCTGACGTTCATAACTTTAAAAATTCTCAGTAAATGTTCCTGTCTTTTTACATTTTACCTAATAGATCGAGATTTTACTTTTTGTAAATTGTGAAAGGTCTGTTGACCAGACAATAGCGTATCAAAAAGATCAACGTTTTCTGAGAAGTGTTTAAGTTACTAAAGAGGCAAGCTAACAAGCCGGGCAACTCTACCAGAAAATTAACAATGCTTTGCATGAGAAACAAACGGTGAAACGCAGTGGAACCAGGTAGCCCCTCAAGGTGGTTAGCCATTATAGAAAGACCCCCTGCTGCTGACAACAACGATATACTTTTGTTACCAGTTCAACCACACGCCATGTTACAGAAACTCAAAAGAAACGTGAAAAAACGCACCCTTAAGTGATACCCCTTTATTGTGTAAGACGTACACTGTAGTTCCTTTTTTTCAATTCAATGAAAATTTTCTTGTGCCAAATTTGGAATATTACAAACAGAGTTGATTGCTAAAGTAGGATAAGCTGGAGACGACATTTACGATCGAGTCGATGCGCTGTGACAGCATCAAAAGCCAAGGCAATTTTTCGTACATTTGTAAGCTTCATTTGGAAGTAGTCCTTTTTGTAGCACTATCTGCAAAGAATATCTGCTAATGTTATTGATTGCACATTGATGTAGTGGAGTCAAGTAAAGTGGCCCTTTTTCCAGTCTTGTACTTAGTAAACATGTTTTTGAGGGACACAGCTTTCCCACCCGGATAACCTGTCCATATAAATTGTCATTCTATTTCACAGAACTGTTAAATGGTCGGTTAGAACTTAAAAGTAAAGTGAGTGTGGGTTCTCTAAAGCCTAATGCTACTACATTGTTGTAGGTCGGACAGGAGTCGGCCCGCTCTCAGCATGCATGACCCTGTTGCTCAAAGCAGGGATAAGTTTAAGTTTAAGGTCGTATTAAGCATCATTTCAATCTTCAAATATCTTCTCGTCAATAGACCATTTTATAGTTGTCTGCTCAGTGACCTGGCTTTTGAATGGCAGCGAGGCTGGAGGCGACCTTGTTTTGATATAGATCTCACTGCTTTTGTTGTGTAAATCAAGTTGTTCTTATGCTAAGTATAGGTGCATTTACATGACAAATTAGCAAAAAGTGAGACAAAAGAACTCTTTGTTTCACCATCCAATAGTTTTCTAACTAGCATAGTAATAACAATAGGTGACATCACTGATGCCCTCGCTATCACGTGCAATTAGTTGTCGTAGCGACTTAAAAAGAGATGCAATGTTCCCATTTTTAGGTTTAAACGTTCAAAACCTTAAATTTTCTCAGTGAACGTTCCTGTTTATCACATTTTGTCTAATCGGTGATTTTATTTTGACGGGCAGTTTTGAAGTTAGTAAACAGGCGAGCAAAGAAGCAAGGGAACCATACCAGAAAATTAACCCTGTAGCACAGGTGAAGCAAACGTTAAAACACAGTGGAATCAGGTAGTCCCTCATGGGGGTAGCTATTAGAGAAAGGCCCCCTGTTGTTGGAAACAATGATATAATTTTGTTGCCAGTTCGAATTCAACCACACACCATATTACAGAAACTCAGAAGAATCCCAACACGTGAAAAAGCCTCCTAAAAGGTATGTCTTTTCAATGACACCTTCATTGTTGTTCATTAAGTAAATCAATAAAATTTTTTGGTGTGATCTAAATTCTAAATGTTCTAAATGTGAAAAACGCACTTAAATGATCTAAAGAGGGGAAAACTGGAGACGACATTAACGAATCAATGTGATGTGACAGTCTCTTGGAAAACTAAAGCAATTCGTAAATTTATACTGATGTTTGCACCCTTGTTTTCATTTGCTAAAAGTGCAAAAAATATTGAAGCTGTCCGAAGTACTAAGAAGTCAGTTAAAGAAAACAGCGAGATAAATGTATTTTCACGAGGGGCTTAAATCTACCAATGAGTTAGTTTTTTTAAAACAAAAGCTTTAAACCTAGATTCCCATGGCAGAAAAAAGAAAGAGCTTGACTTGAGCAACCTCTATTAATTCAAAACGTTTTAATAAAACGTAGGAAATTTTCAGTATTTCACAATGCTATGCACTCGTTTAATTTTCATTTCTAAAGAAACGTCTTTGGCAGTAACTTGATCATTCGATGACTTTAACCTTAAGCTTCCTTCAATTCATTTGATCCTTTTTGAAATGAACGAATTAAATGTATTTACATTTAATTCGATTTGATTTAAATTTGAAACTTAATTCTTTTGGAAACACTGTCTTCAATTATTTATGAAGGAAAAGAAGGTTCCTTACGAATTCAGACAGAGAAAGGTAAAAAAATATAATAGGAGAAAAATAAAAATAGGTAATATTGATATTTCTCAGTGGTATTGCCCTGTTACTATTACTATACCAGTTTGAAAAAGCTAACAAAAACAATGACAGAATAGTGAAACTTTGGTTCATCCATTTAAACAATTGAAAATAAGAACCTGCCTCTTTTTTCCTGCTTTTATTCAGAAACAGGCTCAGAGAAAAAGGGTTGCTAACGTGGTCACAACAATTAAAAAAGAAAAAGAAAGACATTAAACAAAATACGAAAAATAGCTAACATATTTCTCAGTAACAGTGCCATTTTACTAGTGCCAGTTTGAATAAGCCAATAAGAAATAACAGAGGTCGTTTGGATCTCTTGAACCGTTTGATCTAAAGAATGTCCTTTGTTCCTAAGTTAGCCACGAGCCAAAGGCAAAACTCTGAGGTTAGAATTGCAAATTACGGAGCAGTGGAATAAATTTTTCGGACAAAAACACATCACTCATATTGACAGGAAACGCGAATGCAGAGTCATTAGTGTCTACGGTCTTGAGGTTAGTAGAAAAAGAAATTGCAAAAGATGTTTTTCTTTCAATAAGGTAGATAGTTCAGTTTTATAGCCCTAGATTGTACAATTCTACGTTTATCATTTTCTATGTACGGTATTTTCTGGCAGTATATCTATACATTAAATCACTTACTTGTACTAATACCAGAAAAAAAAAGTTCGTTTTTCCATACATAGCTATATATTTAACCCACCCTTGACGATTGTGGTTGTAAATTATGACAAATCTCGCGTGATTTTTCCTGGAAGAGAAAATATCTTCCTAACCAAGACATAATTAAGTTATATCACATGAGTTTCTGCCATTCAATAATGTCGTATGACAACAATAGTATTCATTTCGTTATTTCTTTTAGTTCGCACAATGCTGTACACGTGAAGTTCCTCTATGACAAAGTATAGAATGTGAAGATATATATATTTGACCATTTTAAATCGTGTATTTAATTCAGGTGTGTCACTAAGATTGAACTGTTTTTTTTTATTTGTTGGAAGCAAGCAGCCATTTGCAAGGTAATAGCTGCTCGCATGGCAATATTTTTAAAAAAATTATATTAACTGATTTACAATGAGCTTTTATCGCCGGAAATAAGTCTGTATCTCTCTTGGTAATTTGTAAAAATGACCTGCTATTGCCCGTTTCGCCCGTGATTTCTGTCACAGAGGGTGATACAAGATGACATTAACAAGTTAGCTCTACTTTGTTTAAGTTTTGCCATCTGTCAATTGTCTTTCAACCTTTTGGCCGTTTATCAAACATTGTAGGTGAAGATGATAAGGTCAAGAGACTACTTGTGAGAAAAAAATAATTGGAGCTATTGTCAGTTGTCAGTTAAACTGCTGACGGTTCGATGGTTAACAGCAACCCCATCCAGTTCTTCTTCAAAGGGAAGACGACCTCACTAGCTGGTGATACCCAATAGAGATGTTTCTGTTTTCTTGCCAGACGCATTATCTGAAGTATAAAAGTTTACGAATTCAAAGGTGCCTACAGGAGACGTCCGATTGGTCGTACAAAAAGAATGATAAAGACCTGTTGAACCAGGGGGTAAAATTTTCATGGATCCTTAGCCCATTCAGTTTGCTAAGAAAATTGAAACAAAAAATGAGTACGTACGAAAGTTCGCAAAAGTAGAAGTAGTATTGGTTAGCCGGGCGGCTGTCCAGTTTAACCAGACTTCTAGAAATTTATGACACACATAATACTTAAGGAGATCGAAGAGAGATTTCTCGAAGTTCTCTCTAAATTCTGCCAAGTTCCGCCTGACCAGTCATACCTCTCTTTTCTCATTTTCTCAGAGTGCAAGCCAAAGATGGCACTCACATTTCAAGCTCTTTTTGTGGCTTTAACTCTCGTTGCCTACGGCGATGCTGCTGGTATCGGAAACGTCTTTAAGCTCTCGCGTATTGGTAAGACTTTCCGGAGATTACCCATGAGTACCAGGGGTCTGGAACGATCTGCAGATATGGCTGGTTACACCTTTGGTATTGTTGGGGCATACTGGCGCTCCAACACACTGGCTGCATACGCCCAAATGTCACGTGGAGAGATCCAAGAAGCCATGGAGACCATTCAACTCGCTATAGCAACCTTGACAGTCTGGGACCTTGGTCAGGGAATCGCATATCCAGTGGTGCACAAGCTAGTCGATAGAATGATTAAGAACAAACAACTATTTGGAAACACTATTCAGGCGTTTGATGACTACCGTAACATTATGAAGACGGGAGTTCTTGATGACGCCACGAGAGCAGCAACTCCAGACGCTCTGAAGGCCAAACTTTTACGAAAGAAAAGGAGCATAGGCAACGCATTTCAGACAGATGTCACCAAAATTATTCAGAAGAGCCAGTTGTATACAGATCTAGTGACAGATCTAAGAGGAATCAAGAATGTACTCAAGGTCGTTAAGTGGACTGATGTTATTCTGGGACCTCTGTTCGATGCAGCAACGGTAGGTGTCAGCGCCTGGCAGCTTGCAGAAGCCATCAAGAACAAAGACGGACCTGCAATCGCTGCAAGTTCACTCTCCCTTGCTTCAGGTCTTGCTGGGATCACGGGATTTGTTGTCTCCGCACTTGCAACTACGGGATCTACGCTGGCGGCTGTTGCTGGTCCCGTTGGAGCACTCGTGGGCGCTATTCTTGGACTGGCGGCAATTATGGTTGAAATCTTTACAGCCCTTAATCCGTATAGGCAAATCGAAAGTCACGTTAAGATGATTCGAGACCTCACGGACAGATCAAAAAAGCTGCTGGACCGAAATATTAAGGATCTCCCCAACCTTGTTCCGCAACGAGATCATTTTGAATTTTCGTGGGTGTATGAGGTGAACCAAGGTCTTATGATCGAAAACATCCAAGGTAGACTACAAATGTGGGGGCATCATGTTACGTTCAAGCCCGAGAATCCATCGAAAGAAAAAAATGGTTATTTGGTCATTGGACCAGAAAGACATTTGGACAAATCGAAGTATCCAGGCAATTTTTTCTGGAATCCTACAGGACTTGAAAACATTGGTTACGACTTCTACGGTAAAAAAGTTACAGATGAATTCAAGGGTGCCACAGTGATAGTCAATACTAATTTGGTAGCTGGAAAAGCCAGCGTGGAACTAAAAGGACTGGACATTACAACTTACATGAGCGAGACTGATGACAAGCCGGACAATGTGATCATTGACGATATGTACGACGTAACACCCTTACCCGGATGTGTTACAGTTAAAACAGGCGCAGGCGACGACGTCATTCAAATAAATGGCTTGGTCGGGAAACCCAGAATATTGAATAGTCAACTACGACCTAATCCGAACCGGAAAGCTTTCTTTGCTATCCGTTCAGCGTATGGAAGGTACAAAGTAATGCAGAGAAATAATGACGTTCTTTCTTTTGAAGGAATGCCGAAGGTACAAAAACGCGACCACAAAATTCTCGGCGTGGAGTACGAGATATTTTTTGGAAAACTACACTATAGGGTTGCTGACGATCAAGGAAGGCCAGTGAGCGTTTACTGGGGTTTCGTAGAAGGGATCAAGATGTTCGTGGGGACGCCGTACAACGACATAGTGGATGTTATGTTGGGCGGAATGTTTTTCATTCGACAGACAAAGGGACAAAACGTGTATAAACTGTACCTTCATCCGGTTTTACATTCCCGTACCACAATTGATGATCAATCCAAAACACCAGGCAAAATTATCCTCGAAAGCCGCAGCTATCAGGGTGGAGGTGGTAAAATAACGAACAGATGTCTTCAGTTTTCCAAAGATGATCGCACATTGTACATTTACGAAGACAAAGGGCAGGCATGCGCAGAGTATTCTCGCGCAAGAATCGTTTTTAGCAAGAGAGCAAGCAACACCCACTTGGTGAGAACGGAGGCAGATGGAATCGAAATGACCTTGGAGCAACTTCGGCCGAAAACCAGTGATGCAGCCATGTTTGATGCAGGAGGAAATACGCAGTATTTTTCTGATTCTGCTTCGGCGCGAAACCGAAGCTACTGCCAGAAAGCGAATGTTGCTCTTTATCCACCTCATCCTCACCAAAGCAAATTCGTTTTGAAAACCATTCAAAGTAATGATTCCAAGGGTGCACTGATCTTGTCTTCCGACTTCATAAACAGTTGTATGCATAAGTCAAACATGTCAGTTTTACTCGTCCGTAGCTTTGACCTGGATCGTCCTTCCTGGCGTCTGAAGTTCTTTGTACCGAGAGATCAATACCATGTTGAATGTCCTGGAAACGAGTTCGAGCTCCCCATTGTCAAGAACTTTGCAAGGCTCATGGAAGAACGGAATGATGGGGAGGATCGTTTGGTGGCTGATCTTCGTCATGACAAGCGTATTCAAATCGATGTGAACGCAGAGTTGGCGAAACTAGATAACCGACAAAGCTACCATTTTGACAAAGAATTCGAAGGAGAAGTGGGTGTTTCCCAAGATTTGTTGTTGAAGCCGCCTATAACCATGGATCCGCCATCGACCTTGACCTTCCAGTTGGATGTCAAAGGTGGTCGGCAGTGGGATCCAGACGCGTTGATTTTTACTGACGAACTAAGGAACTGGCTGAAGGAAAATGGACGGAGGATGCTGTTGATAAACGAACTCGAGGGGGCTTGGAAACTGCAAATAACCAAAGGTGACGACACACCCACACATTCTCTGAATCTGAAGAACATCGAACGCATCGATTATGAACCAAGGGATGGGTCCCTTAGGCAGCCTATTGTCCTGGACTTAGCCACTGAGGTTAAGAAAAGGATCGATTTGGAGACCACCACTGTTCATGATCTACTAACGGAGACAGATTCTTCCATGGATTGAAGAAATACAGCGTTGATCACTGAGCTCAACATGGAACATTTACTACTTCTGGAGTTATATAAGTTTCTGGCTGTAGTTATTCCATGGATGAAAACATGCCAAGTAATAATCATTGCAATAGTTAGTATCACCGAGGTGTACAAATCAGTAACAATGAAATTAGAAATGACAGTGTTCGTAAACTAACAATGTCATTTTATTTATGTTTCACAACAACAACCAACATTTAACAGATTGACAGAAAAACGAAGCTCGCAAAAAGCCAGTCCAAAAGACTATTAGAGGCAAAAGAATCTTGGTAATACTAGAGGAATATGTCACACAAGGCTTTGCATGATTTTCACCGAATTTCAGAAAGAAATTGTTTTGGTTGATTCTGAAAAAAGGCCGGGATTTATGATTGTAACTTTAATTAGTCAAAGTAATCAATTGAAAGTTAAGTCAGTAAACTGTATTCAAAACCAAAAAAAAAATGTTTGTTTGTTTGTTTGTTTTAAATATGTCAATGATACACTCACGTGAGTAGCCCACAGTGATATACTGCAAGGAACCCATGCAGTTTGATTAGCTTTGGCAAATACGACTTCTATAAGTGGTTCGAAGTTGTCAAGCAACCTCGGCTTTAAGGATATAAACCATCGTGTTGGCAAGTTACTTTTCGTTCCATTAGAAGCCAACATGGATTGAATTCGAAGGGTATATGCCTGGTGTTCAGCATTAAGAAAAGAAAAGGATTAACACCACAAATCTTGGAAGACGTGTAAGTCTATAGTCAAATCTATAGTCCTTCTGGTTAGTTGGTATTTCGTTTGTTAGTAAGAACAAAATCATATGAACAAGTTTTCGCACCGTTTTATTAACCATAACAATAACCGAAATGCCACTCTCGGTTCCTAACATTTTCAGAGACAACTGTGAAACCCAAATTATTATCCTTTGAAAACATGCTCTTAGCTTATTTCTGGAAAAAGTTGAACACAATGCTAAGTGAGTACTTAAAGTGCACCTCACCCCCAATTTTTTTTTTT